GTGTTAATTTTTGAGATTTTGAGGTGGTAGATTCTGTTACCTTTGTCCAGAATCAGGCTAACTGTTTCCCCCTGTTTCCAGTCTTTATGCTAAGCTAAGCCTCTCTCAACTGTTGCTTCATATTTACCACACAGATGTGAGAGTGGTGCCGAATTTCTAACTTTTGTTTTTTAAGCTTATGAAGGCTATTTAAGTGCTTCACATGGGAACCTTCCTATGGCGGATGTTATACAGTAGTATGGTAAAGGTACAGTGGAAGATATTTGCATCTAAATCCCAAAACACAATAAAATGAGCCTCATAAGGTTGGATGAAAGCCAGAAGATGGTAAACATAATTGGATGACATATGAGGCCCTGCCATACAGTATGATAATGACTGAGCAGCTGAAAATGGTTGGAAAATACAAAGAGATTGTTTCCACAGAGCTCGCATGTCTGTAGATGACACGGGGAAATACTTAGAATAAATATCCTGCACCTTCAAAAGAGAGATGTTTTTCTGGGGCGGGTAAGGTGTCTGTACGTTACAGTGAAAATATACTGCAGATATCTTCAGGTGAATGATGAATGAACTGCTGTAGGTGGAGATGTTAAGACCCACTCAATGCAACTGCTGAGGAATTATTGTGACAGCCTGGTAGACACACAAATAACACTGTAGGCTACGAACAGTCATAAATGAGCAGCAGTCACAGTCAACTCTACAGGTGACTAATAAAAAGGTGCAGCTTCTCCTGCTCTGTTGCTCCATCATTTCATGTTTGTATAATAGATTCGGCTGCATCTGAAGGTTGGCAGATCAACTGGCAGCAATATAACATTAAAGTCAAACTTCTCCAATCAATGCATATGAATAGCAAAAGAAATCCAACATTTGCATAGATATGAAGGAAAAAAACCTTTTAAACCAAAGAAAATTGTCCTTAAAAGGAGCTTTGTTTGGTGATCTCCTTCAGTCATAATGTGTATTTGTCCGTACGTGGGGTTTCTCCACAGTTTCAAATCACTTCCAAGTAGAGGAAATTGGTCCAAGTCAACTGTTTGAGCTCAAATCAGATTGAGGTCTTATAATGCTCCACTTCAAAAACTGTTTTGACTTAATTAACCTACGTTAGTGCCTTTCATAATTATGACTTGGACGTTGACATTAACACTATTCACAAGTGGAAACTGGTAAATGCAATAACTCTGACGAGTTTATACATTTTTCCTAAACATAACACCATGTTCCTTACCTATTTAATTACTTAATAAGGCACATTTGAATGGCATCATTAAGGGACAATATATTACAAAAAGGATTTTTAAGCTTTGATAGGGGACTTACAAATGATCAGAAATCGACATGACGGCATAGCTGGACAAACAGCACGACAAAGCAAAGCCCTCAGTGTCTCTGGTGAACCTCCTACAACAAGCTACATTTTGCTTGCTAGTCATTTCGTTGAGTTGTGCTCATGCATTGTAAGTACATAAATCAAATCATAGCTTTTACAGAACATCAGCTTCTTGTTTTAATTGTCTATGGAAAGTCAATATTTGCTCTCTGTGAACTGAAGACAAACTTATATGAAACAGTTCGTACTCTTCCTTCACTCAGCTGCTGAAGACAAACCCACAGTGAACTCTGGGTAAACAGACACGGAAAGAACTATAAGCCAAAATCAAACAATTGCACAGGAGAGAGAGAGGGTGTGCAAATGAAATACAGTTTGAATATTTATTAAATTTGAACTGAATGAATAAGTGAAGCAGCAAATACCACAGTGCTAATCTTTGTTCAGCTGCCCGAGCTGGATAATAAACTGCGAGCACATAATTAAACAACATCTGACAGTTGTTCCTGTAGCTCTCGCTGTACTTTGGAGTTAATGAAGTCCAAGCCATTTGCTGCCTCTGGGTGTTTGTAAGTGTGTAACTGCAATTCAGAAAGCTCATGTTGCAATGAAAGAGGCAGTATTGCCTAATTAAGCTTTGCAAGGCTGCATTATCTTCTCATGATAATGTCTAGCTATTCATGCACACACGCACACAGAGTCAAAACACATCCCCTAACTACATCAGAGAGGAGGAAGACATTAGTGTTACTCTGGACAATGGACTATTACCATTGTCAGAAAAAACGTTCAATCAGCCGTGTGATGATAAAAAGACAGAAGATACACATCAGAGGGAGGGAAAATTAGGTACATTTATGTGATTTCAGTGCATCTGATCCTCTCACTGCTAGACTGAAGAGGAACTACGACCTAGTGGGAAATCCAAGTCATCCGCTGCCATTGTCAGAAATGATATGCCACACATAGCAGAGCAATTAGACTGAGATCAAAGAATTTATCTGTAATCTGCTTGACTGCATGATCAATTGTCTGTGTAGTGAAATATTGATCCTCGTGCTCTAGCAAGACCCCGACTTTGTGGGCTTGTCAGGTGTTTTTAGCATGGCTCTAAGGATGGCTGTGTCCTCTGTCCATCCCTTTGTTCCAGACTAAAATACCTCAACAACTGCCATGACATTTTGTGCAGACATTCACGGTTCCATAGACCAATCCTGCTGACTTTGGTGACCCCCTTGACTTTTCATCTAACGCCACCATGAGGTTAACATTTGTGGTTAGGGTGAAATATCCTCACAACTATTGGATGGATTGTCATGGAGTTTTCATCCAGGTACTCAAGGCGTCAAGAAGGGATGCAAGATGACATTTTCTGTGGGGCATCACACTGCTCCCCTTGACAACAATCCAATGGGATTCCACTGGATTTTGGATTATTGCTGAAAATAAGCTCTGTGGAAAGCACAGGTTTATGATACCAATGAGTTTTGTTCTGCAAAATGAACACTTTTATGATTTTTTTTAAGCTTCAATGCAATCACTAGAAGCAAAAAGCTAATGCTGGGATATAAATAATCTACACCACGGTTGCATGTGTGTGAGTATACACAACGAGGCTGTGGAGGCGGACGAGTCGGCATGATGACGTTTTGTGTGTTCTAATTGAACTGCTTTTTAGCAATTGCCATTTTTAAGACGCTTAAAAGCTTCAAAGTCACAAGTGGGGTATTTACTGACGTATTTTATATCGTAAAACAGAGCGTTGAAATGTATTAAGCTTACCGCAGACCTTATTTCAGGCATCTAACTAAAAAACCCATTCAGTGGCAACTGGAAGTTTAAAAATGCTGACTCATTTCCAGGTTTCAGGACTCATTTCTGCAGCACTCTATTCTAATGATCCTTTGTCGGGAAAAACTTTCACTTAGTCATTGAAATGTCTCAACATTTCCTTGATTGATTGGTATAAACTTTTGTACAAACATTCATAGTCCCCAGATGACGAATCCTAATAACTCACGGGTTGTTGACTATTGTATAGATTGCTGTGAAATGTGATCCAGACGTTCATGTTGCCCAGAAGATGCACTGACATAACTCGGATCCCCTGACTTTTCAGGTAAATATGTAAATGTCTCCATTATTCAGGTTAATGGCCAAAACCTGCATAACTAATTGCATTCCCATCCGTCTCAGCTTCAGCTTTTAGTGCTAATTAGCAAATGTTAGCATGCTACCATGCTAAACTATAAAGGTGAGTATGGTGACAAACTTGTGCCACAAACTGGCTCAGGGAATGTGATAAGGAGGGAGTTGTGACGGTTCACGGGGTTCCGTGTGGGTTTAGGTGTGGAGCAGAGACTCAGGAGGAGACTCAGACACAGGAAACAAGGTGAGGTGAAAAACAAGGCTTTACTGGGCATTTAGCAGACAAAACAAAAAACACTCCAACCAATCCAACTCCAATACAAGCAAAGTCATAAAAAGGGCTTGGACACAAAAGACACAGTCACAAAGCGTGGAACGCAGAGGGTCACCACGAGGGGTCACCACTGGAGATGCGACGAGTCCACGGGGAAGGAAAAGGAACAAATGATAATCCGGCAACTGGAACAGGGCAAGCAGCGGAGTATAAGTAGGTGAGGGGTGATGAGCGGATTCCCGGCAGGTGAGTAGAGATGAGTGGGGTTGGCAGAGGGAAAAGCCAGGGGCAGGTGATTGGGCACAGGTGGAGAGAATGAGCATGATCAGGAGACACACACACACACACGGCAAAGCCCAACTGTGACAGGAGTCAACGCAAGAGATTCACTTAAAGTAAAGAATGTATAAAACTAAGCAAGCAATGGAGTGGGTAGATCAGCCACATCAGGAATGAAAGAATGCATGGATGTGAGCCGTATGTGCTGTGGAGGTTGTGAAAATGCTAAACCAAAAAGCAATGCAGGACGAAGAGTAATCAGCTGACGACCCTCCATTGTCCGCCACTTGACAGCGGAGGTCGGCCAGGACATCCTCCAAGACAGATGGAAGGGCGCCAGCTAATTACCGACATGTGAACATTGTCTTTGTGAGCATGTTAGCAAGCTAAGGTTTGGCTCTATAGGTGTGGGCACCAAAAATAGGATCTTGGCAGGTTCCTGATGCCTACTGGTGCCGGGAGACTGTCTGCCTACCCTCTCTACTGAATAATGTAACAAGTGGTGAGTGGTGTGGGTGGCAGCGAGGGATGGCCTCTCCTCAAATAGATTCCGGGGCAAAAGCAGAAGGCTTCAGAGACAAGATATGCTAGCTCTGACTGCAATGCCATCCTGCAGTCATTAAGAAAACAACTGCAGTTTAGCCAGAATCATGTTTTTATTTTTTTTTAAATTTTGGCAAAATATCTCAAGAGAACATCCTGGTTACGTGTCAAGGGAAAACCTGCAATTATTTTTATTAGAGAGGCACAGGTGTCTAACAGCTGAGAGAGGAAAGAGAGGCATCAGAGGGGAACGATGTCACGTGAATGTGTGTTTGTTGGGGACATTCTGCTGCATCCCCGGACAGAGCAGAACAAGTGAAGCATATAACAGGCGTGCAAACAGCAGCCAGCCCTGTCACTGCCCCTCTGGTCAATGAGACAGGAGTGGTCACTTCCTCACACTATCTGTGTGTGTGTATGTGTGTGTGTGTGTGTGTGTGTGTGTGTGTGTAACCTGAGTACAGAGCGTCCTCGCTCTTCAACAGGGAGTGAACCAAACTCCAACTTTCTCTGGGCAGGCAGCGTTCAGCACTTTGCGAGGATGGAGAGCAAAAGCTTCCAGAGGGGTTCCATGCAAGATAACAATAAGAAACCCGTGGACACGTTTTAAGAGGCATCAGATTTCCGTGCATGTAGGCTCTCTGTGGCACTCTTGCGAGGCAGCAGCGGACGTGGCGCTATTTTTAGAAACGCGGTAGAGGAATCAATCAAACTGCGACTTAACCGGTGTTTTCATGACAATCTGCTGCTTTTAGTGGCGCAATCTTCTGGGACTCATGTCTGCGCTCGCAGGGTCAAGGGGACGGGACGGTGCATTTCCATCAGTCTGATCTCTGATGCCAATTGATGCCTTTTTCTCTCGTGCTCTCCAGGAATGCACACCGGTGGACCTCAAACTTTTGCACCATGGAATCCGCTACACATGACGGCAACAGCGGCGGCACTGCTTTTGGGACCTCGCGTAGTTTCGTGTCTTTTCCCAGTCTTAGAATTTCTAAAGAACACTGCAGTTTGGGATGTGAATGACAATTGTTGTTGAACGATACAGAACTAAGGAGAACATCGTTGAGGCGCATACTATTTCCTCATCCTCTTTACTTCTATCAGGTGTTGAGCGCAGTCTTTTTTTCTGGCTCCTATGGGAATCAAACACTCCCGCTGCATGCTCCTCAGGAGAAAAATGGCGGAGTCTGAGAGCATTGAGGTAAGTGTGTGAGAGAGACAACTTATTATAAAAAAAAGGTATATGAGAAGGCTCTGTCAGAGTCCTGCAGTATGTTTATCTTTAGTGGAAGTTGCATCCGGGACAAAATGCAGATTCCGTCCGGATAGAGAGACAGCAGCCTGAGTGATCACATATAGGCTGCATCTCTGCAAGGATGTTGAAATAAAACATGTTGTGCAGAGCAGGCTTGAGGCTAATTAGTATTTCCAACATCGAGTACACTTGAAAAAAAAAATCAAGCATATTTTTACTGGTCAAGCTTTTTTAACCGTGTAGCTCCCAATGTTGCGGTGTGATTTCACTTATATTTTAGAAGATGGGACAGTGGCAGGACGTTAGACCCCCCCCATGCCCACTCGTTTTGTCGAAAGAAATCTAAATATATTATAATGCATTTGCATGAAGACAACCCGTTTAAATGAGGAAGACGCTGTGAGGATGATGAGGCTGAACGGGGCAGATTGCTGCTGAGATCAGAATGGCTTGCGCTGTCCAAGGTACTGCAGCACCCCGCAGACCAGTCGACACGGAGAACGCTGCGACTTGTATGGAGCAGCTATTTTTTGGGGGGGGGGGGGAGGCAAGCTGAAGACGTGATGAGTCTACTTTATTGACTTCCTGGTCGCCTGACAGGGCCCTAGGGATCCCCAGGATGCAGGAAATAGTTTAGGTCTACCATTTGTAGCCCCCCCCC